TGTTGTTGTTGTTGTTGTTGTTGTTGTTGTGTGCTTTCAAGTCATTTCAGACTGTAGGTTGACCTTCAGCGAGGGCCGGTCCCTATTCTTTCATAGATTTTCTTTGTAAGTTTTCTTCAGGGCAGACTGAGAGAGGGTGATTTACCCACAGAAACCCACTTGGTGGGATTCCAAGGCTGAGTGGGGATTTGAACCCAGATCTCCTTGTCCTAATTCCTAACTAAAACCGCTGCACCTGGGTGACTCACAGTCATACACAATGGCTGGCATTTTGTTAGTGGCACAATGATATGAGCAATATTATTCATTATAGAATAACAAGTATATTCCACATCAGGAGGAGGAGGTGCACATACAGTAATATTGTTATTTCACATTTCACATTGCACTTGCACAACAGCACCCAGTAATTGGCATGTCCTTTTCAATGTTTACATTTTGCATTGTGCTTGGGAAGCGCTGGCCTTGAATGAATAATTATTTACCCTATCCTTAGGAGCTATTGCCAGCTAAGCGACCTTGCCTAACCCACTGCTTCTTAAACAATGTGTCCTGACCCCAGATGTGGTCCTCTTAGCTCAATGTTCAGATCACAAAAAACCTGGCAACAGTAACAGTTTCCTGAACCCCACCTAGTGGCTGTTTTAGACATTTACATATTTATATTGCTAAGAACATGCAGTGTTTACAATGGATTCTGAAAGAAAATACTTAAGCTGTACTCATATAAAGGCTTTTTTTTATCAAGCCTTGCAAATGCAGGTTTGTTACCAGTAAATGTTCGATTTCATACCTGTTTTATATTCCTATATAAGCAGAGGTAATACCAAGTAGAAAGGTTTAAGAAGCCCTGCTCTAACCTGCTGCATCCAAGCTGTTTCGCTCCTGCTCTGCTATACCTCTGCCCTAAGGAAGGAGGTTTTAAACCAGCGTTTCTCAACCTGGGGGTAGGGACCCCTGGGGGGTCGCAAGGGGGTGTCAGAGGGGTCACCAAAGACCATCAGAAAACACAGTATTTTCTGTTGGTCATGGGGGTTCTGTTTGGGAAGTTTGGCCAAATTCTATCTTTGGTGGGGTTCTGAATGCTCTTTGATTGAACTATAAATCACAGCAAGTACAACTACAAATGTCAAGTTTATTTTCCCCAAACTCCACCAATGTTCACATTCGGATATATTGAGTATTCCTGCCAAGTTTGGCCTGATCCATCATTGTTTGAGTCCACAGTGCTGTCTGGATGTAGGTGCACTACAAGTCCAAAACGCAAGGTATTCCTGCCAAGTTTGGCCTGATACATCATTGTTTGAGTCCTCAGTGCTATCTGGATGTAGGTACACTCCAAAACTCAAGGTCATCAAACCACATCAAACCCTTCCAGTATTTTCTGTTGGTCATGGGAGTTCTGTGTGCCAAGTTTGACTCAATTCCATTGTTGTTGGAGTTCATAATGCTCTTTGATTGTAGGTTCATTATAAATGACAGGAACTACAATTCTCAAATGACAAAATCCACCCCCTCTCAACTCCACTAGTATTCAAATTTGTGCATATTGGGTATTTGTGTCTGATTTGGTCCAGTGAATGAAAATGCATCCTGCATATCAGATATTGACATGACGGTTCATAACAGTAGCAAAATTACAGTTGTGAAGTAGCAACAAAAATAATTTTATGGTTGGGGGTCACCACAACATGAGGAACTGTATTTACTAGGGGTCACAGCATTAGGAAGGTTGGGAATTACAACATTTGGTGGACATGGTGTGGGGATAAGCTGTAGTGCAGAAAACCAAGAACAGGTTGGGTGCAACAGAGAGGAGAAATGGTTAATCGAGCATGTCAAGATTTCCAGGGGGGGGAGAGAGAGAAGAGGGGCACGTGGTCCCCTTTGGTGCCCTTTGGCACCTGAAACCCCCTCCTCTCCACTGCAGGCAAGGGGGCCTAAGTTGTGGGTGAAGAGGCCCAAGGTTGAGATCCAAGGGGTCTGCCCCCTGCCACGGCGCCCGCTGGAGCTTAAGGGGGCGGGAGGGGGGTCACCTGGGGCCAAAGGCCAGGTCTTGGTCACTGCTGGGACTAAGGACCCTCGGCTGAAAGGCAGATGTCAATCCGCGCTGTTCCAGAGCTAAACAAATACAAACAGAGGAGGGCCTCCCTCTCGAGGGCTGGCCTTTCTTCTTGACTGACTCGCCTCTTCCTCGCCACCAACGGGAGAGGGAGGGGCGGGTGGGAGAGAGGAAGCCCCCCCCCCCCAAGCAAGAAAGCCAGGCGTGTGCGTGCGTGTGTGTATGTGTGTGCCAGGCGTATTCCCGCCAGGAAAATTGCATCCAACGACTCCTTCATTGGCTTGACAGGCTGCAAAAGCTTTTCGAAAAGAGATTCCACCTAAACATTAGAAAGAACTGGGTTACTGTGAGTTTTCCGGGCTGTATGACCATGTTCCAGAGGCATTCTCTCCTGACGTTTTGCCCACATCTATGGCAGGCATCCTCAGAGGTTGTGAGGTCTGTTGGAAACTAGGCAAGTGGGGTTTGTATATCTATGAAATGTCCAGGGTGGAAGAAAGAACTCTTGTCTGCTTGAGGCAGGTGTGCATGTTGCAATTGGTTACCTTGATTAGCATTAAATGACCTTGTAGCTTCAAAGTCTGGTTGATTGCTGCTTGGGGGAATCCTTTGTTTGGAGATGTTAGCTGGCCCTGAATGATTGTCTGGAATTCCCCTGCTTTGTGAGTGTTGCTCTAACAACTACCATGTCAAACTTCACAGGGCAGAGGTGGGGAGAGGGTTAGGTAGGAAGTGTTGTATTATGTATCATTACTTACTTTTACTTTTTCTGTACTTACTTTTACTTTTAATATGTATACGTTTTAAACTCAATAAACAGTATTTAATTAAAAAAAACTACTCAGAGAAACCATTGAAATCCACAAGCATATGAACCATTTCAACAGAAAGGAGAAAACCATTAAAATGAACAAAACCTGACTATCAGTATTTTTTAAAAAAAACTATCTAAAATCAGAACAGTAAAGAAAGAGCAACTCTCCAAAAGTAGAGGAATTCCAGACAAGAATCAGTCAGGGCCAGCTAACACCTCCCAACAAAGGATTCCCAGGCGGCAACCAGCCAGGCTTTGAAGCTGCAAGGCCATTTAATACTCAAAGCGGTCAATTGTAGTATTCACACCTGCCTCCAACAGAAAAGAGTTATTTCTCCCACCCTAGACCACTCTTTCTCAACCTGTGAGTCCCCAGGTGTTTTGGCCTACAGCTCCCAGAAATCCCAGCTAGTTTACCAGCTGTTGGGATTTCTGGGAGTTGAAGGCGAAAACATCTGGGGACCCATAGGTTGAGAAAGAGTGGTCTAGGGTGGGAGACCACTCCCACTAGGGTGGGAGACTGCTCTAGACATTCCACAGATGCGAGTATATAAACCCCACTTGCCTAGTTTCCAACAGACCCCTCAACATTTGTGGATGCCTGCCATAGATGTGAGTGAAACTTCAGGAGAGAATGCTTTTGGAACATACACCCAACAGCCCGGAAAACTCACAGCAACCCAAAGATTCCGGCCGTGAAAGCCTTTAGGAAGAACTTCCTGAGAGGAAGAGGGATGAGAAATGTGGTGGAGTCACCTTCTCTAGCGGTTTTGTATCAGAGGTCATCTGTTTGTCGGCAGTGATTGTGCGAAGGGGGTTGGACTGGATGGCCCTTGGGGATCTCTTCCAACTCTTGGACTTTAAGTCAGCGCCGCTGTGCTCCCCCCCCCCCCCCCAGCCTTTCTCTCTGGATCAACTTTTTTCTCCCCTCCTTCCTTCCCTCTCTCCTCCCAGTGTCTGGGGCCCCTTTGAAGGCCAGAGCGCCAGGGAGGGGGGATTCTCCCCCTGCCCTTCCCTTCCCTGCCAGGCGATTTCCCAGGCAACCTGCCAAAGTCCCAGGGCAGCAATGGAGGCCTCCTTACCTGCTGCTGCTGCTGCTGTTGTGGTGGTGGGAAAAGTCGGGGCGGCGGCGGCGTGGGGACGGTGGGGGCGGGAGGGGAAGGGCCGCCCTCCGCTCGGCCAGCCCTTCCAAGGGAGCTCAGGCGGCCTGGCGGAAGGAGGCGCGGGAGCAGCGCTCGTGGGACGCGGGGTGAGTCCGGGGTGAGGGTGGGGGGCACAGGGGTGAGCAAGGGCTGGGAAGGAGAGCGGTCCCTTGGCTTCCCTACGCGCCTCCGCAGACCTCCCCCAGTTCGCCTCTGCACATGTTCAGAGGCCCATCTTCATTGGCCATTGAATGCAGTCTCAGGTGGTTGCATAGGGACCAAATTTGAGGTCTGGTTGGTAGTGATCATACATATAAACCGCAGAGCAATGGTGCGCATTAAAGGCTTCCTTTCGTGCTCTTTCGTGGGAGTTTGTTGTCTTTACGTGTCAGGAGCAACTTAAGAAACTGCAAGTCGCTTCTGGTGTGAGACAATTGGCCGTCTACAAGGACGTTGCCCAGAGGATGCCGAAATGTTTTGATGTTTTAGCATCCTTGTGGGATCCCTCGTGCTGGCAGGACTGAAGACCGACAGGTCGCAGGTTCGAATCCAGGGTGAGCGCTGATGAGCTCCCTCTGTCAGCTCCAGCTCCCCATGCGGGGACATGGTGGTGCAATGGGTTAAACCCTTCTGCCGGCAGGACTGCTGACCAATAGGTCAGCGGTAGGAATCGGGGAGAGCGGGTTGAGCTCCCTCTGTCAGCTCCAGCTCCCCATGCAGGGGCGAGAGAAGCCTCCCAAGGATGGTAAAACATCAAAACATACAGGCATCCCCTGGGCAACGTCCTTGCAGGCCAATTCTCTCACACCAGAAGCGACTTGCAGTTTCTCAAGTCGCTCCTGACACACACAAAAATCCTTGTGGGAGGCTTCTCTCATGTCCCTGCATGGGGAGCTGGAGCTGACAAAAGGAGCTCAACCCGTTCTCCCTGATTCCGACCGCTGACCTATTGGTCAGCAGTCCTGCCGGCAGAAGGGTTTAACCCACTTCACCACCTGGGCTCCTTCAGTGTAGATGGGCCCACGGAGCCACCTTTTCTGGCGTGGAGAGAAGAAGGCGAAGAAAGAGAGGATGCCTCGCTCCTCCCCCTGCTGCGAGCTTTCGAAACCGTTTCATTAATCCAATTACCACGCAGCCCACGAAGTAATTAAAGGGCGTGTGTGGAAAGGACGGGATGGAGTTAAAAGTGCTTCTCAACTTCTTGCCCGACGGACGGGGCAGGAAGGAAAACCAACCGAGAAGGGAGCACGTCTGCACTGTAGCATGAATGCCGTCTGATAATAGCTCTTTCGCTGCCGTGCCTTGATAGCTATGGAATCCTGGGAGATGCAGTTTGGCGGGACAGCGGCCCTTTCAGGCAGAGAAAGCTTAAGACCATATACAACTCCCTAGCAAGGAGTCGTGGCAGTGAGAGGGAGCTCAACCTGCACTCATTCTACAGTGGAGATGCACCCCAGTCTTCATGGGTGGCTTGAAGGGCTGGGGGCAACAATGGGGTCGAGTTTGTTTCCTGCCCTCTTGGCTTTTCGACGGCAAAGTGAGTCGCGTCACTTCCTCCCCAATTGGGGCGGGGGGAGCCACTTCCAATTGGGTCACCCGTTTCCGTTGATATAACCATATCCACGCAATGAGTTTTGCTCCTGAGAAGGAAAAATATGGGAAGGCAGCGTTAATATTTCTCTTATTACCATCTTTAGAGGAACTTAAGCCATTGCTTTCCGGGATCTCTTTCTCCTTTTTGCTGTTGGGAGTATAGGACGAGCACTTCCAGGTCTCCAAAGTCTTCAAAACATGACATCCATGCCATGGTTAATGTGCAGTTGCGACATTTTGGAGCAGAGGGAAGGAGAAAGGGCCCAAACCTGGGGCGCGTCTACATTGCAGAATGAATGCATGGCTGAAACGCATTGAACTGCCACGACTCAATGTTATGGAATCGCGAAGAGTTGTCCTTTCCCAAGGTCTTTGGGAGTTCCATAACATGGAGCCCCATCAGGGAAAAGAGGTCCCAAACGGCATTGATTCCACACTGTTCGATTAGTCCTGAGGGAGAGAAGGGCCACGCGGAACTGGAGGGAGATTCCCACGCGCGACCGCGTCCACCCACGCGCGACCACTTTGCGCTTCCGTTGGGGTTAAGCGCCAAAGTCGTGAGTTAACACCACTAGCTCACTCAGGCCTCACCTACACTGCCATATAAAATCCAGATTATCTAATCTGAACTGGATTATATGCGTCTACACTTCCACGAATGCCACCCAGTCGCCAGGTAGCTTGGGCACCCAAGACAGCTAGTAAAAATCTCGCGGGCGCTTGACAGTGATGGAAAGGGGTCATAAAGTGTGCCTAGGAGTCACGAGAAAAGTTGGACTGGGGGAGGGGCAGGGGGAGGAGACCCACAAAAGATGCCGCGTTTGTCCCTGGCTGGTCGCGGCCCCCTGCGCTTTCCTGCCTTGCGCTTTGAGGGGTGAAAACCGAACACGCGTGTTCGTGGATGGCAGACACTCCGCCAACGCCTATTTGGGTTCCTGGCTGTGAATACGAGGAATTCAGAAGCCTTCAAAAAGGACCTTTAGAGTGGCTTCGGTTGGGTTTAACAAATGATAGACATAAAAGGGAGGGAGGGAAGGAAAAGAAAGAAAGAGAGAGGCATAAAAGGGGGGAAAGAAAGAAAGCGGAAAGAAGGGAAGAAGAAAGAAAGAAAGAAAGAAGAAAGAAAAAGAAAGAAAGAAAAGAAAGAGGGGGGAGGGAAAGAAAGAGAAAAAAAAAAAAGAAAGGAGGGAAGGAAAAAAAGGAAAAAAGAAAGAAAAGAGGGAGGAAAGGAAAAGAGAAGAGAAAGAAAGCAGAAAGAAAGGAAAAAAAGAAAGAAAGAAAGAAAAGAAAGATGGAAGGAAGAGGAAGGAAAGAAGAGAAAGAAAGAGGATGGAAGGGAAGGGAAAGAAGGAAGGAAAGAAGCAAGAGGGTGTGAGGGAAAGAAAGAAAGAAAAAGAAAGGAAGGAAGGAAGGAAGGAAGGAAGAAAAGAAAGAGGATGGAAGGGAGAGGAAGGACGGAAGCAAGCAAGGAAGGAAGAGGGAGTGAGGGAAGAAATAAATAGAAAGAAAGAAAGAAAGAAAATAAAGAGGGTGGAAGGAAGAGAAAGAAAGGGAGGAAGGAATAGGGAGTGAGTGAGTGAGTGAGTGAGTGAGTGAGGGAAAGAAAGAAAGAAAGAAAGAAAGAAAGAAAGAAAGAAAGAAAGAAAGAAAGGGGATGGAAGGGAGAGAAAGGAAGGAAGGAAGGAAGTGGAAAAAGGGAAAGAAAGAACGAAAGAAGGGAAAGAATGAGAAAGAAAGAAAGAAAGAAAGAAAGAAAGAAGATGGAGGAAAGAAGGAAAGTGGAAAGAAGAGAAAACAAGAGAAAAGAAGAAAAGAAAGAAAGAAAGAAGGAAGAGAAAGAAATAAAATAGTCGGAAGAGAAAGAAAGAAGGAAAGAGGGAGAGAAGGAAAGAATTAAAGCGAAAAGAAGAGAAAGCAAGAGAAAGAAAAAGAAAGAAAAAAGGTAAGGAAGAGGAAGGAAGGAAGGAAGGAAGGAAGGAAAAAGAAAGAAAGAGGAAGGAAAGAAAGAAGGAAGGAAGAGAAAGAAATAAGATGGAAGGAAGAGAAAGAAAATAAGAAGGAAAGGGGGACAACTTTTCACTCTGTACACAGATTTAGGCAAAGGTGCGCCTAAGGTAAAATGAATATATCTTTAACTGTATCTGGGTGAGGCACCCGAACTGTTTGGCCGAGGAGGCCAAAGGCCTTTTAAAACGAGCTGCATGGATGCTGCGATGTAGACGTCTACCTGCCTCTCCAAATGGGGGAGGGGGGAGGGGAGGAAACGGCTGAGCGGAAGGATTCTCCAAGCGCCTTAATCTGTTTTCTTTTTCAAAGGAGGACACAATAGATTACCAGCTAATCTCTCCTTGGTCCGACTTTTGTCCCGGGCATTATGCAAATCAGAATGGCCTGCTTTTACATTCTTCAGGGGCCGGAAATGGGCCAAAGAAAAGAAAGGCGGAAGGGGCTCCTGGGCAAGCGGGGGCTGCTTTGGGGGCGGGAGCGTGCCTTCCCACTTGGAGGAAGAGCGTGGCTCGGAAGGGGCCTGTCTACATTTGGGAAAGATCCGAATCACAGAGCCGAGCGGTGCAACCTCCTTGCAACCGGTGTGAACCGTCTTCTGGGGAAAAGCTTGTGTTGATTTCAACCTGAACATTAGGAAGAAATTCCTGACTGTAAGAGCTGTTCAACAGTGGAACTCACTGCTTCCCAGTGTGGGGAAGTCTCCCTCTTAAACAAAGGTTGGATGACCGTCTGTCAGGGGTGCTTTGATTGTGCTTTTCCTGCATGGCAAAGGTTGGACTGGATGACCCACAAGGTCTCTTCCAACTCTGCCATTCTAGGAAAGCAAAGAAAAGTTTTCCCGCTGGGCGAAAAACAAACAAACAAATCCCAATTCTGGTATCGACGTCTGTCCTAAATTTGAATTAGAAAACGACGTAAAACACCAACATCGCCCCTCCTCCCCTAAAAAACAAAAAATACTGAATGCTCCACTTATGCCAATTTATAATACCATCTGCTAACGGGAGGAGAGACGGTTCCTGCAGGGGAGTGTCTCCAAATGGCCTTCAATACCCCAAAAGCCCTAGATTCAGTCTCATCTTGGGAGCTAAGCAGGGCCGGCCCTGGATAGTGCTTGGAGGGGAGACCGCCCACGAAGAACAGGGGAAAGGAACTGGCCAAAAATGTATTCATTGTCAAATAAAAGCCTATAAAATGGATGAGGTCGCCTGCCATGAATGGATAGGTGGCTTGAAGGCAGCACCCCAAATCGCAAGGAGAGAAGGGACGCGGAAGTGGTTGGAAAACCACAGCAGTGGGGAACTTTCGCCAAGCGCGTCAATGCGCAGGCGCAGAGCAGGCAGCACCCACCTGCAGGCTGTAACCTTGTTCCTTAAGGCGTGGATGAACCTCTTGTAGTTCAACCCACAAGCCGTCCAGATAGGTCCTATATCCCAGGATCTGATCCTTGGTTTTATGATTTAAACTGGATTATATGAGTCCACACAGCCAGATAAGCTGGGATAAA